CGGGGCTGAGACCGGGGGACCCCCAACTCCACGAGCTGCCTGTGCCCGTGGGTCGGGGAACCCTCACTCTTGGAATTTCCTGCAGCCTGGCAGTGTGGCAGGCAGGGCTGGGCTGGGGGACTAAGGACTGACCCTGGGACTCGCAGGGCAGGAAGCCCCTGACCCCATGTGTGTGCCCAAGGACCTGGAGTGACCCAAGGGTAGCCTAGCCCTCCTTGCTCAGGAAGTGCCTCCCAGCTCCCAGCGTGATGCCAGTGCCCTTTCTGCTCCCCTGCAGTATGGCCTCTATTCCTCCTTCATGGGCTGCTTCGTTTACTGCTTCCTGGGCACTGCCAAGGATGTGACTCTGGGTCCCACTGCCATCATGTCACTCCTCGTCTCTTCGTACGCGTTCCACGAGCCTGTCTATGCCATCCTGCTCACCTTCCTCTCCGGCTGCATCCAGCTGGCCATGGGGCTCCTAAACCTCGGTGAGATACTCTCTTATACCCATGTGTTTTTAGGATATTGCTGTACATCCTGTAGTTGTTCCCCCTTCCTCTCTGCTCGCCGGGACACTGGGGTTATCCTGCTAACACTTGTGACAGCTCTGTGGGCATGCAGACACCCCGTGCTCACTGCTGCTTGTCCCAATGCAGGATTCCTTCTGGATTTCATTTCCTGCCCTGTCATTAAAGGGTTTACATCAGCTGCTTCTATCACCATTAGCTTCAACCAGATCAAGGTAGGGTCTGCTTTGCTCTGGATACCTCACCTGCTCTCTTCTAGTGCTGTGGAACTCAGATGTTTAGCACTGGGCTGGGTAATGTGCTCGGTGCTAGAGGAAGGAGCCCTAAAGGGGGCACAGGACCCCCTGCTGGGGATTCTACTGGGTCTCTGAGGGCTCTGCTCTGAGCAGACCAAGCCAAATACACCCTCTCTGCCTGTGACCAGCTAGTCGCATCCAGGACACCAGTAAAACCAGGACATTAGCTTTGGGTGGGAGGTGATGGTCATTAGACTTGCAGGATGCACTGGGTGATTCTCTGGCACAGTGGGTTTGTGGCAAAGGGAGGTGGGGTGGCTTGCAGTCCCAATGGGCCCTCACTGGCCTCTTGGGAACCTGAGGCCCTCCAGCTCTTCTGGGGCTGCTGCACTTCCTTTGTGGTTAACCCAAATCAGAGCCTCTGCCAGCAGCTCGCAGCCTGGTGTTGGCTAATGTCTGTGGTCACGGTGGGCAGTGGGGCTCCACGGGCCGTGGCACTCAGCAGCTCGGGCTGTGCTGTGCTGTTACCAGGCTTTGTCTTCCTGCACAGAACATCCTGGGGCTGCAGGGCATCCCGCGGCAGTTTTTCCTGCAGGTGTATGAGACACTGCGGAGGATCGGGGAGACCAGGTCGGCACCGTCCCCACGCCTCCCCTGCTCCCTCCCCTGCAGCCGTGTTGGGCTCTGCTGCTCTGCTTCTGCCTCTTTGGTCACACCTTGGACTGATTGCGCTGTGCCTGCCCAGCGCTGTGAGCCCCGCCCTCCCCTGGGGCTTTGCGGGACTCTCCATGTGCCCTGCGGCGTGTTTGGCTGGCACTAACGTGGGTGTTGCAGGGCTGGGGATGCTGTTCTGGAGCTGGGGATGCTGTGCTGGGGCTGGCACTGGTGTGCCTGTTGCAGGGCTGGGGTCGCTGTGCTGGGGCTGGCACTGATGTGC